GGATCTGGATCCAGAGGCAGAAACCAAGCTTGCAGCTGGATCTAGCAGTCAAACATGGATCCAGTGTTAGCATTTGGATCCAAATTTGACAGCCATACAGGAAGAACTGCTAACCACAGTTGCTAAGAAGGGATCACATTGGCTGGGATCCAGCCAGCATGAGGATCAACTGTCACTAGTCTAGTGGTTCTATACTGGATCTACTCAGATCGGTAAAGTCCAGTACTGCAGTTCCAACACCATGATCTTTGTGAATTGCTTTCCTTATTGATTCTGTGTACATCATAGTGGTATGAGCAAGCAGATCCATTCTGGAGATCTTCACAACACTGGAAGGGGAAATTTCACACATTACAGGCTTTTATAACATATTTTGAAGGACAGATTAAATTCAGAGATAATTGGAAAAGCAGATGTAATCCATATGCATTCACCAAAGGTAGATCATGCCAGACTAACATGATTTTCTTCTTTAAGAAACGTGATATTTTTTTAGGCAAGGGAAATGCAGCAGATCTAATATAGTAGGACTTCAGTTAAGCATTTGACACTCTAAAATTAGAGAAGATGGGGATTAGTCAAGAATTGTAAGGTGGGTAAGGATTTGGTTAAAGGAGAAAATGCAACCAGTTGCTCTGAAAGGTGAGCAGTGAGACTGAAGGGAGGTTACTAGTGAAGTTCCTCAAGGATCAATCTAGGGACAGATCTTATTTAATATTTCTATTACTAATCTTGGCACCAAAAGTAGGAGTATGTTAATGAAACTTATTCATGTTACAAAGTAGGGAGACATTGTCAATACAGAGAAACATGAGAATATTATATAGGAAGAACTGGATGACCTTGAAGACTGGAGTAACAGAAATGGGATGGAATTTAAAATGCAAGGTCATGCACTGAAGGTCTGATAAGAATTTGTGCCATATACTGGGGTATCATCAGTTGGAAGCGACTCAGGAGGTGAGAGACTGAGGTGTGTTGGTTAATCACAAGATGACTGAGCTACGAAAAAGACATCCTAGGATTGCATTTGCATCAGGTGAGGCATTTCCAGTAAAGATAGAGAAATATTTCAACTATTTCCATATTGACTGGATATGTCACCTCAGGACAGGGTGCAGAGAAGTTTCTAGACACTATAAATTACTGCTTCTTGGAGTAGCTGGTCCTGGTACCCACAAGGGGAGAGGCAATTCTTGATTTAGTCATAAGTGGAGCGCAGGATCTGATCCAAGAGGTGAATATAGCTGAACCACTCAGTAACAGTGACCATAATGTAATAAAATTTAACATTCTTTTGGGGGGGGAGATACCAAAGAAGCCCACCACAGTAGCATTTAACTATAGAAAGGGGAACTACACAAAAATGAGGAAGCTAGTTAAATGTAAATTAAAAGGTACAGTCACAAAAGTGGCATGCTTGGAAGCTGCATGGAAACTTTTTTAAAACACCATAATAGAGGCTCAAATCAAATGTATACCCCAAATTAAAAAACATAGTAAGAGGACCAAAAAAGTGACAGCATGGCTAAACAACAAGGTAAAAGAACCAGTTAGAGGCAAAAAGGTATTCTGTAAAAATTGGAAGTCAGATCCTACTGAGGAAAGTAGAAAGGAGCATAAGCGCTGGCAAATCAAGTATAAAACTATAATTCATCATCATCATGTTCCTATTACACCTCTGGCATTTAGGGCAGTGATGAAGCTCCTCCACTCCTGTCTGTTTCTGGCAAGTCTTTCAATGGTTCCCCAGCTGTGCCCAAGGTTTTTCAGGTCGGCTTCCACAGCTCTTCGCCATGTTGTTTTTGGGCAGCCTCATTTTCGCTTGCCTTCAGGTGTTCTCTTATTGCTACTGTGGTGATTGAATCAGTTTCCATCTGAAGCACATGTCTGATCCATCTCCAACACCTCCTGGCAATGATGGTGCTCAGATCCTCTTGGCTGCACTGTGTCAATAGATCTTGGTTTGAGATTGTTCTGGGCCAAAAGATACGGAGGATTATTCTGAGGCAGGTTGTATGGGATGAAGACAGTTTGGACATGTCATACTTTCTCATTCCCCAGTATTCTGCACTATAAAGTAGTGTTGAAAGTACGCAGCTCTGATAAATCTTGAGTTTGGTTTTGGTGTTGTATTTTGATGCTCCTGAAGGTATTCCTGGCTTTATTGATTTTGTTCCTGATGTCCTAGCTTGTTCCACCATCCTGGCTGATGGTGCTGCCCAAGTATGTGAATGTTCCTACATTGGTGAGAATATAATCCTCTATCCGTACTGGTGATGGTGAGGCAATATTAAAGGTCATGATATCTGTCTTATTGCGGTTGATTTTCAGGCCAGTTTGCTGGCTGAATGCGTTGAGTCGAGTTGTTTTTTCTTGTATATGGTGTGTGGGGTATGTGATAGGGGAGTGATGACATCTGCGAAGTCCAGGTCTTCAAGGGATGAGAAGAGTGTCCATTTAATGCCTCTTGGCATGTCTTCTGTTGTATGCCACATTACCCAGTCGATGGCAATGTTGAAGAGGATTGCAGACATTATACACCCCTGACGTACTCCTGTTTTGACTTCAAAACTGAGCTCACTGTGATCAACACTGCATGTAAAGTTGAAATAAAAGCTTTTGATGATGTTGATTATATGGAATTTCTTTCCATATGCCTGCAGAATGCACCATAGGCTGGTCCTGTGAATGCTCTCAATGAGGCAGGCTTCCCCCCCCCCCCCCAATGGAAAGTAACTAGCAAAAGACTCTCAAACTAACAGCAAAAATTTAAGTACATCAGATTCAGGAAGTATAATTAGGTTAAAAAAATGTTTTTATGCAGGATAGGTCCATCAGTGACTATTAGCCAACATGATCAGGGATGCAACTCCATGCTTTGGGTGTTCCTAAGCCTCTGACTGCCAGATGCTGGGACTGAATGACTGGGGATGGATCAATCAATGATTGCCCTGTTCTGTTAATTCCCTCTGAAGCACCTGGCATTGGCCACTGTTGGAGGACAGGATATTGGGCTATATGGACCATTGGTCTGATCCAGTATGGCCATTCTTATGGTTTTATGTTCCTAAGTATTAATGCCATTTTACAAGGCACTGGTAAGACCTCCTCTGGCATACTGTGTACAATTCTGGTCATCCATGTTCAAAAAAGATGAATTTCAAGTGGAAGAGGTGCAGAGAAGAGGTACTCGGATGATCAGGGGAATGGGGTGTCTAGGAGACTTAAAGAGCTTGACTTGTTTAGTCTTGCAAAACAAAGGCTGAGAGGATAAGATTACTCTCTAAAAATATATTGGGGGTAAACACCAGGGACGATGAAGTGCTATTTAAGTTCTTTACAACTGGCCATGAACGAATTTAGGTTGAGGTATGCACGGTGGCTTGCAGGATGCTGGTGTGGTCTGTGCCAAGTATGGCATATAGTTTGTAAAAGCGGCGGGTCTGCAGCTTAGCACCAGACAGGTTGTTGGCTTCCCTGGCCTTGTGATGTGCCTGGTGCAGTTCCTTCGCTTTCATGCAGCAGCGTGGCTGATCCCTGGCCTACCCTTTGCCTATATCCTCTGTGTGATCTGTTCATGGATGTCCATGTTTCTTCGGCTGGTCCGTAGCTGTGCTTGCACAGCCTCTTCTCCCCACAGGCCCGGGAGATCCAATACGTCCTGTCTACACCAGGCAGTGTCTAGTGTGTGGAGCTGGCCTGGTCAGTTGTGGAGTTGCACACCACAAAGAAGAGCTGCTAGGTGTGCTTGCCAAGCTGGGCAATCAGGAATATGTTCATGGGGCTTTAAAAGGTGATGGCTCACACATCTACACTCAAACTGTGTTGACCTCAATAGACTGACCATGCCTCCACGCCACTCAGGGAGGTAGTTTTACTGCATTGCTCTATCAGGGCACTTATGTCAGCTGGAGACACATGCTGAAACAGGTCAACACAAGGCAACTTAGGTCAACCTACGTTTGTAGTGTAGACCATGCTGAGAGCGGTTGCACTGCAAAACGCTCAAGCTGCACAGAGTGATTGGATTAGCTGCACAGAGTACCTGCATCCCCACTGCATCACTAGCTCAAGCATCAGCAGCACTCAGGCTCAAACCCACACTCCTCTAATGGACTAGCTCACTTGAGTTTTAAACATCTTTACTCAAGCTTGAGACTTGTATGTCGATGGGAGTCAGAGTTTTATGCCTCAAGCTAACTCTGCAGTGAAGACAAGCCCTAAGGAAAAACAGTTGCTTATGGCAGCATTGGAAATGTTGGGCCACATATGGAATGTGGAAGTGTAAAGGATGTTAAGCCTTTTTCAGGAGTAGTGCCAGCACAAGAGTAGGGTTGGGCAGTAATAACCCTTTAATTCATTGATTGTCTGAAAGTTTTCTTGCTATTTCTAATTATTGACAGCCGACATGACTAAGTTATTATTCTTAGTGTTGTTACATAGGAGACATTTTTTCCCCTTAAGAACTTGGCATGGTCTGAGGCAGCATATGGGATGAGGGAGGAGATTGGTGAGAGCAGGAACAGTAAAGAGACAATTCTCAGTAATCTGGATTTAGAAGTGTTTTTAAAAATCAATACAAAAATGTCTGGCTATTTGTTTGATTCCTGCATGGAATCATTCCAAGAGTCATGCTCTGTTGATTATGTGCATTTAAAAAAATCCCCTCTGATTTTTACATATTTCATTCCTTCATATAAAATAGATGGAGTATAATGTTGTGTTTAGAGCAGGGGTCTGGGAGTCAAGAATTCTGGGCACTGTTCTCAGCTCTGTATATGACTCTCTGACCTAGGGCAAATCATGTAATCTCTGCCTCGGTTTCCCTATTTGTAAAATTCCATTTCTTATGGTGTATTATGAGTTTTAATGTTTGCAAAACACTTTGAGATCACGGATGTGAATGGCTCTGTTAATACAAAGTATTAATGGGCCATTAGCAGCAAAGTGTGATTAGTGTACTGGATATGAATAACGTTTGTCTCATACTTTTGCAGATATCTCGAATGGAATATGTGCATTCAAAGAACCTCATTTACCGAGATGTCAAGCCAGAGAATTTCCTTATTGGCCGGCAAGGCAATAAGAAAGAACACATCATTCACATCATCGACTTTGGATTGGCCAAGGAGTACATTGATCCTGAAACCAAAAAACACATACCTTACAGGGAACACAAGAGCCTAACTGGAACAGCAAGATATATGTCCATCAATACACATCTTGGCAAAGGTCTGTTCACTTCATGCTAACTTACTATGCTTTGTACTCTTTTTAGTAAGAGCATTACACTCTCCTTTAGAGCTCCAACTATAGATTGGCCCATGGTGTTCCAGTATCAGTCAGGCCATCTCTAAACTATTAAATATTATATGCATTTATCATGATGGTGTCTTCTTTTAAAACTAGGCAAGGAAAAATGCAGGAGAATATACAGAAGGGAACAGTTCTGCACTGGTGGAAGGAGAGGTTTGAGTAATTATTTTATATAAACATTTAGAGCAGCAGTTCTCTTCTGCTGCACAGTTCTGTGTATTTGTTCAGTTTTGCCCAGAGCCTTCCATTTTCAGTGGTTGCTGAATCAGTCTGTCACTTTGTGTACTGTTGGTAGAAGGGAACAACTGAGTTTTCTTAATTTTCCTAGGTTTCAGAGTAGCAGCCGTGTTAGTCTGTATCCGCAAAAAGAACAGGAGTACTTGTGGCACCTTAGAGACTAACAAATTTATTTGAGCATACGCTTTCGTGAGCTACAGCCCACTTCATCAGATGCATCTTCTTACTATATGTTCCATTCTATGCATCTGATGAAGTGGGCTGTAGCTCACGAAAGCGTATGCTCAAATAAATTTGTTGGTCTCTAAGGTGCCAAAAGTACTCCTGTTAATTTTCCTAAATATTTTACATTTCCTCGACCTCATTTTACAGTGTCTCGTTCTCCCCGGCCCCTGCTTCAACCTTCCATAATAAAGGAGGGTTGTCCCTTCAGCCACAGAAACAAGTAAGAATCTTGCTCTAAACACTTGCCAGTCTCAGAGAAAGTTGGAGCAGCTGGCAGCTTGTTGGGACTGTTAGATTATCTAGCCCATCGCATGCCTCCTCCAAATAGCAGCTGAAGTAGGAGAATGTCTCGCTCTGGTTTCCACTACTTTTAACAAAGCATCACTTGGCTTTGCCTGATTTTAATATTAGAAACTTACTTTGCCCTAGTGACTAAAATGTTGCTGTTCTAAACTTGAAAATAATTGCTTTTGAAGTTCCAAATCAACTCCATTTTACTAAATATTTATGTTCACTTAAACGTCTAGGATAATGGAATAGTTTGCGAGTGGCCTCTGTAGGTCCCCATTTATGAGATCAAGGCAAATATACTCCTCCTGGAAGCTTCTGGAGAGTGGTGTCTGTTTGGGTCAATCCCTCCTCACTCTCTTATTTTATAGCCTCAGAAATGTACACAAAGAGGTAGGCGGGATAGGGAGCGTGAATAGTCCCAATGGATGCTGCTCTTTAGAAGAGTTAGAAAGCTGATGATACAGATTCCTTGATCCTACAATTGGGAATGTGCAGAGGCTGTTCTCAAACTCCACTAACTGGTGAATAACCTTGATTTTTATTGTTGATGAACACTGACTTGTAAGTATGCAGGATGTGAAAGGAAATGTTTTTAAAAGTTTGGGTGATTAACTATTGCCTTCAAAACTATTTTTGCACCAAGTCACTCAAGTCCCAAAAGGAGAATAGTACTTGTTTTTATGTTTAAATTATTAATTATACAATGGATTTATTTTAATTTTAGCTTTTCTAGCTTACTTTAAAGGCCTTGCTTCTGAAAAGTATAGTTGTTTCTAAGGGCTTGTCTACACTACCGCGGTAGTTCGACGGCTGGCAATCGAACTTCCGGGTTCGATTTATCGCGTCTGGTGTGGACGCGATAATTCGAACCAGGAAGTGCTCGCCGTCGACTGCGGTACTCCACGTCAGCGAGAGGAGTACCGCGGAGTCGACGGGGGAGCCTGCCTGCCGTGTGTGGACCGCGTCTGAACCGCGGTAAATTCGAACTAAGGTATGTCGACTTCAGCTACGTTATTCACGTAGCTGAAGTTGCGTACCTTAGATCAAATTGGGGTGTTAGTGTAGACCAGGCCTAAGATGTTTTTAATTTTGGGAAGGTGGTGTTGGGCTCTTATTGTCTTACGTGGAGAGTTGTGCCACCTAGTGTAGACAACATGTTAAAACATCGTACAGTGTGTATATCATCATAACTACTTAAGAGGGGCCTCTTGTTACAGGAAGATGTAACAATTGAGACTCTTGTAATAGGTTGGAGGCATTGCAGGAAGCCACAGTATGAGTGGTGTCTTGCTAGTGAATTTGACGCAGATGAAGTTTCCTCCTGCGTAAAGGTGGGGAGAGTGTATAATCAAAGTCCTCTCTAGATCATCATTGCTAATTTCTTGGTAATGATTTAATGCTGAGCATTGTTATTCTAATCAAAGTGACTATGGCATTTTTCCAGTCCTTTTCCAGGGTCAAAGATCCTGACTCTCTTGCTGATAACTGTATCCATATTGTAATTATTTTCCCCATTGAATTAAGAGTTGTATCCTTCCTATTTACAGCTATATCCATGACATGCAGTAGTTGCCTTTTTAGCCTCTCCTCTTCACATACTATTTTGAGAGCTATATTTGCTATGTAGTTTCCACGACAAGTCATGCTGTGCAAAGAACTGCTTGCTCCTCTTCATGCAAATTACACAGCACAGGGACAGCTCTTTAAGCATATTGTGTTTCTACATGTGGGTTGGATGACTGGATTTGCTCCACATTCCTGGCTCTGAATGTGTGAGCTGCCTGCAGGTGGAAGTAATGGCAAGCTGGTCTGTAACCTAGCTTAACTTCAGTTTTTTAATTCCTGGGGAAAGCAGATTGATCCATAAACTGCATCTTAGAGTTCAGAAGTTTTTCTAAAACATAATAAACTAGAAATCAAACATATTGAAGCTGGGGTCTCCTAGCTTTAGTTAGTTTTTAAAAATACCTACATAGTGTTTATCCTCATTCACTGGCCTGAAGCTTTACTCTGCTGGACAGCAGCCTGCTCACAAAGAAGGGCTTTGAAAACTTGAAATCAAGCATTTTGGCTCATGTTGAACTATACAAGGAAAAAGCCCCATTTGTATCTGAACTAATAAATGAAATGCTTAGGATTGGTGTCCTCTATTGCATCGGTTCTCAAACTTTTTCATAATGTAGGCCTGCATCTTAATGGATTAACTTATGGACACCTCCCCTCCCACCTGTGATCATATGGACCACCTTCTCTTCCATTCACAATCATATAACATCTTTGTGGCAACTACAGCAAACACTTGTAAGGAAAAGAAACAGGGAAATATTTATTTTTAATTGCTGTGATGTAATGAGCTATAAAAACAGTTGGAAAAGAGCCAGCAACATGTGACCTATCCAGTCTCTACAGGATGGTCATCAAATGCTTCAGACCACCATCACTCTTGAGACCACAGCTTGGGGACTGCTTTACTCTTGTACTATTGCTACTTTAATCCTCCATTTTGATCTGAGTGACACAAGAATTTTAACATTCTCTATTGTACAATATGTCCAGCCTTTGTGTAGACCAATTACCACTAGCTGATTTTTTTTATTTTTTTTTTTTAATTTGGCATTTATTTGCTTTGGCCAGTTTTAGGTATTCTTATACAAGAGGATGATCTGAGCTATAATAATTTTTGTGCATATGGAAAGAAAAGTAAATAAAGTTTTCATGTAATACATTATTTCAGAAATAAATCTGGTTGCTGAACCAGTTAGTTTTACTTCAGTAGCTGAAGCAATAACATGTGGTCTCTTGTACCTTTCAGAGCAAAGTCGGCGAGATGACTTGGAAGCCCTTGGCCACATGTTCATGTATTTTCTTCGAGGCAGTCTGCCCTGGCAAGGGCTCAAGGTATATGTTCAAATGTATCACTTAGTGAATTTTAGACAGCAAAATCTACTTTCTTGGTCTCACATTTTTCATTCTTCTTCTCTTCCGGAAGGTGAATCTTTTAGGAAAATTTGAGCAAAATCCCTTCATTTTCTTTGAGATCCAGGAAGTGGATGGGAAGACTCTTCTGGCTGTGTGTGTTTAAAATAAAAAAATAAAACTAACCACACATGGGCATAGTGTAAATGACCAAAGATTGAAGCTTTGCAAAGATGTACCGTATATACTCGTTCATAAGCCGAATTTTTTTAGTAAAAAAGGGAAGCACCAGAGACGGGGGTCAGCTTATGAATAGGTATAGAGAGGGAGAGGTGGGACACAGCCCCCCCCCCCCCAACAGAGGGAGCAAGGAGAGGCAGCACAGCCAGCAGAGACAGAAGGGAAGAGGCGGGGCCAGAGTCTCTCTGCTTCTGGCCACGCTGCTCTCCCCACAGCCTCCAAAGCAGCTGCAGCTCTGGGGCTGGCAGGCTGCAGCCCTGCCGCTCAGCCCCGCCTCCCAGAGCAGGCTGTGGCCACACCGCCCGGCCCGCCAGAGCATGCTGAGGCCATGCCGCCCAGCCCAGCCCGCTGGAACATGCTGCGGCCGCGCCGCCCAGTCTGGCCTGCCGGAGCAGCTTCAGCCAGGCCAGAGACATCCTCCCCTGGCCCTCGCCAGATATGGTGGGAAGGGATGGGATGGGGAGAGTGTGGGGGTCCCAGGCTAGGGGTGGGGTTATGTGGGGGGTGGTCACAGGGGTTACTCCCCTGACTCCCAGCTTCTCCCCCCCCCAAAAAAAATTTCCCCACCAGTTGCTGTCCCGGCCCGTCAGGGTAAGCAGCTGGCGTGCCAGGACACTTTGTTTACTTAGGTTTACCTCCGTGCCTGCGGACGCTCCAGGTAAACAAACTATCTCGGCCCACCAGCGGCTTATCCTGATGGCCTGGGAGCCAAAGTTTGCTGACCCCTGAATTATAGGGTCGGCTTATGAACGGGTTATAAAAATTTTCCATTTTTACTTATCCATCTTGGGGGGGGGTCGGCTTATAAACGAACCGGCTTATGATCAAGTATATACGGTAATTATCTCATTATGAACTAGTGTCTCGTGTGTGTGTGTGTAAAACCTTTGGAATATGATTTGACAGCTATGACCGTTTGAAAGCTGCACATGGAACATGGGCACTAAAACTTAAGCCTACACTTACATGGTTAAGGGCCACATCCTGCACTACTTTCTCAGACAAACTCCCACTGACTTCAGTTGAAGTTCTTCCTCGATGCAGAGTTTGGTCCTAAGTATGCAATAGTTGCTTCAAGGAACTTAGGGCTTGTCTTCATGCGCTACAGCAGTACCGGCGCAGCTGCGCTACTGTAATGCTTTAGTGAAAACCTACTACACCAATAGGAGAGCTTTTGCCTTCGACATAATTAATCCACCTCCCCGAGAGGCATTAGCTATATTGACAGGAGAAGCTTTCCCGTCAACATAGCGTTGGCTATATGCGGGGTTAGTTCGGTATAGCTACATTGCTCAGGGATTGATTTTTCATAGCCCTGAGCAACATAGTTATACTAATACAGGTTTGTAATGTAGACCTGCCTCAGACTCTACTGTTAAAATGATCAACACTAGTAAGCTACACCAGTGCACTAGTTCCTAAGCAAGGAGCTTATTAATATTGTTGACGCAGCCTTTAAGTGCTGCAAACTTATTTTTCTTTTATAAACAAAAAAGGGCTACTACAACTGAAAGACTAGAGGGGGAAATATTTCTGCAGGGTGCCCTCTGCATATTTCTGTTTATTCCTGTTCTTGAGAAGTGTCTCTTCAGAGTGACACATTTATGAAGGAAAAAAGGAAGGTGGGCAGAGTGTGAATGTGCATACGACACCCTCAAAGAACCACAATTACTGTCAAGTGACCTCTCTTCCTCTGTTTTCAGTTTGTTTACTTGGTTAATTTAACAACATTTTGCATACAGTCACTTTCTCCAATTGTTTGAGAGGCCTTCAGAGAGCATCGGGAGACAGAGACACTTTAAAAAGTAGGAAAACATGACCAAATATTGACAGGGGGACTCAAAGGCAGGTGTGGTACCTGAATCTATTTTTAAAGCTTTTTTTAAAAAGAGTTTAGATTTCAAATTTACTGACTACTTTTAAAACACAGTTCTGCTCTGAAAAGTCAGTGCATAAAACATCTTACTCAGACCCTTGTATATTCAGCCAACTCTTCTGATTTAAATAATAAAAAGAAATATACTATTTTTTATCTTGTTAGCACTGCAGAGCCAATATCACTTTGGGAGAGTGAGTTGGATTCTGTACTGAACAGCACAATTGTTAACTAAATTCTAATTACAGGGGCAAAAATCTATTCTCATTTACACCTTTGAAATCCTGCTGCATACAGGGTTACATTATGGTAAATGAGGGCCATATTGTAGAAGCTTTTGAGTGGAGATGTATGAGCCAGAAAGAATTCTTCTTCTTCGAGTGCTTGTTCATGTTGATTCCAATCAGGTGTGTGTGTGCGCATGTTCACGTTGGCCGGAAGATTTTTCCCTGAGCAGCATCTGTCGGGTCAGCCTGGGCGCCCCCTGGAGTGGCGCCCTCATGGCGTCTAATATATAGCCCTGCCGACCCGCCACCCCTTCAGTTCCTTCTTACCACCAGTGATGATGGCTGGAATTTCCCTTGGCTCTTGCTCAGCAAGTTTCTTCTCTATTCCGTTGTATATAGTTAGTTCTTAGGGTTGTTCGAGTTAATAGTTTAATATAGTATAGTGTTTGTTGGTGGTTCCCCCCACACACTCTGGCCCCGGCGCCATGATATGCCGCGGTCCCCGGGCTCAAGCGCATGCCGAAAAGTGACCCACACTCATTGTGTCTACGGTGCCTGGGGGAGACCCATCAGAAAGATTGTAAGATCTGCTGCGAGTTCCGTCTGAGAACACTTAAAGAAAGGGAACAGCGTCTCAAGGTGATCCTCATGGAGGCAGCCCTACGCACCCACTCCGACCTGGGCTCGAAAGACCCGACTCCAACGGCAGCGTCCTCAATGCAGAGCGCCCTGTCGGCGAGTTCAGCGCTGAAGAAGGACTCCTCCAGGGACGCTCGGCACTGTCACAGCTACTCATGGGGCCCATCTGACAGTAGGCACCGCTCTCACTCCCCGGTGCCTCAAAAGAAGAAAAACCCGGAGGACTGTTCTCCGGCTAAGCCATGAGATATGTGACCCCAGGCGGGCCACTCCTCGGCATCTCCTTTTGGGGCCATGTCGACTCCTGCCCAGGTGCAGCAGTCGACTCCGGCCCCATCTCGATCACCGGTGCCTACGCAGCAGCTGCAACTCCCGTACACGCCGGAAGCGTACCAGGCTACTCAGGACCTCCTCCACCTGACGGCACTGTTCTCGCCTGCCAGGGAGGAACTCTCAGCGCCGACGGAGCCACCTCCTCCGGTGCACTCTAAAGGGAAGCCAGCTATGATGTCAAGACGCCTTCGGCTTGTCCCTGGGCACCTACCCGTTCCGACAGAGAGCCTACCAGCTCCCCGAGCTCTCAACGTTCGAGGCATCAAGGATCGGCTCCTCCGTGGTCTTCAGTGTCTGAGACCTCGGAGTCAGAGTCCGACTCCTATTGCTCGGGTAGGAGCAGAAGTCATAGAGTGAGGTCGGGTAGAGACAGAAAAGAGCATCAGGCGTGGCCTCCGCAGTGGCAGAACCCATCTCAGTGGCCCTTCTGGATACCCTGGGCTTTTCACCAGGGCCAGGGAGGAACCCAGGGCCCACCCAGCAACATCTTCAGTGGCATCCGCCACTTTTGTGCCGCCTTCCGCTGCGCATCTGCCCTCGGTGCCTACGGTCCCAATGCCTTTGCATCATGCTCGGCTCTGACTTCAGCACCGGCCTTCATGGCATCGACGCACCTGTCTCCCACGCCTGCACCGTTGTCTACGTCTACCTCGATGCAGGCACCTACGGCCCCGGTACCGATGTTGGCACCAGGCCCCCCCCCCCCAACTCCGGCAGCTCCTGTGAGCGTGCCAATGCAGCTCCCTCTGGTGAGACTGATGCCGACGCCAACACCTGTTACAGCACCACTTCCTCCAATGCTGCCCCGGGAGTCACGTGACCCCCTCCGGTGCAAATGGTAGGGAGCTTCCACTACTGGCACACGCTTCCTCCTCCTGTCACTGGACGAAGCGTTGGCAGGGATGGCCATAGCTCCTGCATTAGAGGACAACAGAGTCCCACAGCAGTTGCTCCGCAGGGCTGCCCAGGGTCTGAGCATCAAGGTTGAGGAGACGGTAGAGGAGGCAGATCCCATGATGGACATCCTAGCACCCTCGGGACCTTCACAGGTAGCCTTGCCCCTCATAAAGACAGTTGTGGACACCACTAAAACCCTGTGGCAGATGCCGGCATCCTTGCCACACACTGCCAAACGCAATGAGCAGCGGTATTTAGTGCCCTCCAAAGGCTTTGAGCATCTGTACTCCCACCCGCCTCCGGACTCGCTGGTGGTCGATGCGGCTAACCAGTGGGAGAGACCGGGTTTCCAAGGTCCTTCACTCACAATGGGTACTCTTAGAACACCTGTGCAGCAATAGCGAAGTTCACGGATTTCGTTCCTTCGGATTCTCGGTCGGAGTTCACCGCCTTGGTGGAAGAAGGGAAACTAGTCTCCAGGGCCTCCTTGCAGGCAGCTTTAGACACTGCAGATGCTGCCACTAGAGTGATGGCATCGGGGGTGGCTATGCGTCGGGGAGCCTGGCTGCAAGTCTCAGGGTTACTCTATGAGGTCCAGCAAACCATTCACAACCTCCCATTTGAGGGTGAGACTCTGTTTTCAGAGAAGACAAATGGCTCCACAGCCTAAAAGACTCCCGAGCCACCCTCAGATCCTTGGGCTTGCATACCCCCGCCACACAGTGGAGACACTTCCTCCTGCAACCTCCTCAAAGGTTCCAGCAGCAGAA